GATAATAAGGACATTGCCTTCAAAAATCCACATCTGACCAGTATCTTTCAAGATACATTCTGTTTGTTGGTTTTTGTTTTTGTTTCCCTTTTCCTTTTTTAATACTTTTGGATTTTTTCTTAAGTAAATACAGAATTCCTGTGTATTCATTTGTGACTGAACCAGGAGTGTGAATCAGCACAGTTCTTTTGACTTTAAGCCATCTCAGTTTACAAAGTCAAGGAGCAGATTTCTTGTTTAAAAAGATCCATAACAATACATCTCTATTTTTATATACATACTGTTTTACAATATGTAAGAAAAGTTGAGGGAGCTGTGCTTGTTTGGCTTGGAGAAAGAGAAGGCTCTGGCATCTCATTGCAACCTTCCAGTACATGAAGAGAGCTTATAAGCAGGAGGGAAATGAATTTCTTGCAGTTTAATAGTGATAGGACAAGGGGAACTGGTTTCAAACTATAAGAGAGGGATTTAGGTTAGGAGTTAGGAAGAAATTTTTTACTGAGAGGGCAGTGAGGCACCAGTACAGTCTGCCCAGAGAAGCTGTGGGTGCCCCATCCCTGGAGGTGCTCAGGGCCAGGTTGGATGGGGCCCTGGGCAGCCTGAGCTGGTGGGTGGCAGCCCTGCCCACAGCACGGGGTTGGAACTGGATTATAGAATCATGGAATGGCCTGGGTTGAAAAGGACCACAATAATCATCTAGTTTCAGTCCCTCTGCTACGTGCAGGGTCGCCAACTACTAGACCAGGCTTTAAGGTCCCTTACAACCCAAGGCATTATATAATTCTGTAATATGTAACACATATTTCCTGGCCAGATTCTGACATTGTTTACCATAACTATGTTAAGTAGCATTTACATTTGCCCAAATAAAACTGGGAAAAACTGTCATCATAGAATTGTTTAAGTAGGAAGGGACCTTTCAAGGTCATTAAATCCAACTCCCCAAAGTTCCCTAATCTTTTTTTCGGTTCATTCATAAATAAGTCTTTCTCCTTAAGGTATTTTAACAAAAAAAAAAACAAAAACAAAAAAACAAAAGTGCCTTTTCATACACTCCAGTATTTCTTGTTGAACATTTAGTAAGTTGACAAAGCAAGCAAGTCCTTTTTAGTGTTAACAGCGTAACTAAAGAGAACAGTAAGATAATATTTTGCATTAAATGATTTAAGAGTCTCTAGTCTGCATTAATGGGCACTCTAAAGCCCTTGCTAATAAACATGTTTTTCCAAGCAGGATTTCATCACATTCTGTAAAAGATTTTTCATATTGCAATAATCTATTAAATCTACATCAATTCAGAATTCAGATATACCAAAGCATATATTCATAGAATTTTTTTTTAAGTAGTGTGTCAGAGATAATAAGCAATAAAGACAGATAATTATACCAGTAAATGAATAAATGAAACATTTATATTATTACATTATTAAAGCCAATGACTGTTTATTGCAAACCATATGGACTTGAAGGTTGTAATTTCACGTGTATGTCTGGTAATGACAGTTTACTCAAAGGTAACTATGATTAAACAAGCAGTGTAATGAATTCACTGATGAAAATTTAGCTCTTACTCTCCTGCAGCATGTATATGGCTATACGAATCCTGCTCAAAATCTCAAGCAGGAAAGAGTATTTCTAGCTGTAAATGACACTGCAGTGTTACAAAGTTTGCAGCACTGTTTATGCATCATGTAGCTCTTTCAGATTTTGGACATAAAAAAGGAGGCAAGGACACCTAGTAATTGGCAAAAAGAGTTGAAGAAGAATGCCTTTAATTTGTTGTTACTTTTAACTTTTCTTTCTGTCTTGCTCTTCTGGACCAGAAAAACCCTCAACTCCAATTTTCAAATAATATCTGTGAAGTTCATACTGATAACAAGTGTATAAAGGAATACATAGCAGGGCCCAAATTCAGCTGGATCTGCTAATGCTTAAATAGGGAGCAGATATGTATTTATGTGAATCTTATATATCTATTGGCTATTCAGCTTAACTGGAGGAAAATTGGAGAAATGAGAGTATAAAGCTGACAGTGAGAGGATTCCCTAGGAATGACAGGTGGAAAGCTCAGAGGTTTGGCTTACCCTCTGCAACTACAGAGGGAAATGAGTTTCTCTCTTCTGTGAGTAGGAGTTGAGTTTTAGCTAGTTGATCTGGTGTTAGGGTTAGCTAACACTGCAAGATTCCTTCAAAGGTTGTTTTAACACCAAAGGCATGGCTGTTCAGTTTCATTACTTTGTTCTGACTAGTATTTTTGTATCTTTTCCAGCAAATTCAGCCAGTTGGCGAGCTCTAGAAATAATGTTAGGAGCATTCTCATTTCTCAATTTCCTTAATTAAAGGCATTTTGTTAAAAAAAGAAAAAAGAAAAAATAAACAAATTGTTACTGTTTTGGTTAATATGTAATTATAATTACACTGCCATATATTATCTATCTCACTTGATGTTTGAGTGTTTAGTGTAAAATTTTGACTCAGTAGCACTTCATGAGATTGTTAGTGGGATGCAGTTCTTGCCTTCTGTTTTTGCCCAAGTGACACAGAAGTTTGTTGAAGGCTGGAGCTAGCTAGTGAATAGGAAGAAAATTCATGCCCACAAGTAAATTCTAGGTTGTCAAAAAGAAATCCTTTCATACTTGTAAACTGCCCAACTCTTGTCTCAAAACTGAAGGATTGCACCATTATTCCTACATTCCTGTAAAAAGGCTTCAGTGTAGAGGAGTGGAAAATAACATCTTTATTTAATTTTATTATTTTGTCATTGTTCTGTGTACTTTTCCTTTTTAGCCAGGTAAAAGTTAAAGATGGAATCACATGCAGACTTCAACATGTATGGGAAAAGAGTGTGCAACAGGGACTGGCATTGAGATTGAGGAGCATCAGGAGCATCTGGGATAGTAAGGTTGTAGCTGAAAAGGAACTGAATGCAGAATGAATATGGGAAAAATATTGACTTCTCAGAAGCACATGTTGACTTTAAGCAGGTGGGTAATTGGCCTATGTTAAAGAGTGTTAATTATTAATTTCTTAAGTGATATGCAATTTTTAACATATTGCACATTTTTGTGGGAGGTGCCTAGCATCCACATCTCCTGTGAATTTCAGTTGTGAATTTAGCAGTATCCAGGATTTTTCACCTTAGTTTTTCCTTTGAGCAGAAAGCAAAGCCATTGTCACTGCTCACTTTTTCATTTAATGCCCCAATAAAACTGTCATAAGCACTGACACCTCAAATATGGGCAGTTAATATTACTGCCAAGTAATTAAAAGTAGAGTCCAGGTAACTGCGTTTAGGGGCAGGAGAAATTTCATCTTAAATTATCGGTCACGGTTCATTACCGTATTTTGTAAAAGATTTAGAACATCTTCTGTTTGGACAGTTTCCTCCTACATCTAGATAGAACAGAAGTTCAACACGTGTTATGAATGCGTGAAGTTTATATGTGGCTGAAGAGCATAAGATGCATTAAGCATTGAAAGCTTCAAAGAGATTTATTACCTGGCCAAGTCTAAAGAAGACCTCCTTCTCTCTAAATTGGAAAGATACGGATTTGATGGGTGGACTGTTTGATGGACAAGGAACTAATTACGAGATCACATTTAGCGACTAATGGTCAGTGGCTCAATGACTGGATGGAGATCAGTGATGAGTGTTGTCCCTCATGAGTGAGTACCAAGAGGTTAAAGTGCCCTTTAACATCAACAGTGACATGGACAGGGGGATTGAGTGCACCCTCTTCATGTTTGTGGATAACACCAAACAGTTGACATGCCAAGGGATGGGATGCCATCCAGAGAGACCTAGACAGGGTTGAGCAGTAGGCCCAGGAGATCCTCATGAGTTTCAACAAATCCAAGTGCAAGGTGTTGCACCTGGGTCATGGTTACCTCTGCCATCAGTACAAATGAGGGGATGTAAAGACAGCGTACAGCCCTGCTGAAAGAAACTTGAGGTTACTGGTGGATGCCAAAGTGCTCTCCAGAAAGAGGGAAGCAGGCAAGGGAGAGCGGGATTCATTGCACTCTGGCCATTGAACAGCATGCTGTGAACTAGAGCATACTTTACTCTCTGCTGTGTCATTTATGTTGTAGTTTTCAGAGGTTTCATAGCACGCAATGAAATGCTGCCAGCTGCAATACTGCCATCATTTGAAATTCTCATGTGAAAGAGGTGGCTAAGCAGGCTTCTCCGTCTCCTTTTTCACCACCTTTGGGGAGATCTCAGTAAGGCCTGCTCTCCAAGTAGCTGGTCCTTGTCTCCTCTATTTCGTGAAAGTTTTATTCTGTAGAAATGCCCTTTGGCTGACTTGTAAAAGTCACCTGTGGACATTATTGCAATTGGGCCAGATGGATACATATACATATGTGTGTATGTATGAGATCATTCATAATCTCAGGTCTGCCTTTGTGAAACTTATTTAAATACGGACCTTTACCTTCTTTGCTAACCCTGGGTTTATAGAGGCTGTAACTCTAATTCTAAGGGGATTTCCGGCACTGTGTAAAGGAACTACTTGTCTCTTTAAAACATTATGTTAACGAGAGTGAACCTCAACTCATCAATATGGTGTTTTTTCCTTGACGATATGTGTGTTCTTGCATTAGTAATTTCTTTATTTGTGGTGAACTAAGGAGAAAAACAAAACAAACCACCAAATCTTCACATAGGGATTGTGAAAACAGCATTTTGTTGCCTAGCTTCTGGAGTTTCCAAATAATGCTTAGAGGGCAGTGAATATTTTTTTCCTTAGGAGTTTTCGGTTCCTTTTGTCTTTCGCCTCGTATGACCACCTGCTTTCAAGGGCAAACAAACTTGGCTGTCTTCCTGGGCTTGCAGCTGCTTTTGTAAGTTTTCTTTGAAAGAGGAGAGAGCAGCTTGAACACAGAACTTGGATGTTGCTGCTTTGCTGGAGAGGGTAGACTTGGGTGGGGGAGCAGAGACAAACTCTGCAGTTCTGGGGCTGTTAGGAGTCAGCGTGGGGCTGCTTCTCTTGAGCCAACAGCTCTCACTCATCTATCACGTACAGCCTGGACCAAAGGTGAGTGGGAATGGTAATCAATACCCTATGGCTTGCCAACGGGGAACTGTCTGTGTGCTAATGATATGGAGTTAAAAGGGAGGAAGGGATCCATTCTCATAGAGGAGGTACAATGAGGGCACTGGGTCCTTTTGCACTGCCATCAGAACTGGTTTTCATATTCTTATCATAGTGTAGACTTGGAGCAGTCTTTCCTTGTTTGATTATAACTTAGTCTCATTTGTGGAATTTGCTGCTATTCTGTACTTCACTAGAAGCACTGGTAATTGTTTTTGTTTTGTTTTGTTAAGGTATAACAGTCTTTTCTGTTGTATGGCTTCAGCTGCCTAACTGTGCTCACATGGGCAGCTGCTTCTGTTTTATTTTGATTTCTTAGGTAGTAGTATCAGATTGCAGCAGAATCCTATTCCCAGTAGCAGTGATTTCCATCTTTCAAGTACTCTACCTGTGCTCAGTTACAGCATAGTAAGATAGCTGCCATAAGCCTCTAGAAAAACCTGGGGGCTATGAGGCAAGAGGGACAGGAGAGTAGAAGCTATGCCAGCTCAGAATGTGGGACATGTCTAGAAGAATTTACCATATGATTTAATACTATTAGTTGCAAACTGGGAAAAGATAACTGCACAGGGAGAGTTCTGTGGCTTCAACAATACTCTTTAATACACTGAAAAGTAAAAGCTTTACACAGAAGGTACAGAAAAACTCATGGGCTTAAAGAGTGCATCTGTAAGTAACACAAGCAGGTACAACAAGAAGAACAGAAAATGATACTGGGTAGCAAAGGGTGATATATCCGTAGAAAATATAATCATTATTTATGGTTGTGCATTTGGGTTTTATTGAGACATATTTTGTGCTGAAGTTTCACCTGGTATGTGATGTACCTGAGTTTTGTTTGTAAGGTCTTCTAAGTTAGCTTTACTTCGAAAAATTGGTCAGGCTAAATAACCTCTGTAGACTTGCATGGATATGAGTATCAAACTTATACTGTTTGAAAAGGAGAAATCCACAATACCTTGACAATCCAAATTGCTAAAGGTACCGTATTTTTTTTCCCAGATGAAATGGTTTTATCAACAGATTGGCAGATCACCAGTGTGATTTTCAGGTCTACTCACTTGCCAGCCTCTAGCTACAGTGAAATAGTTAACAGTGTTCATGTATGAGCAGTGTTTATGTTTCGTAGCAAACCACAATGGAAAATTGTAGGGCAAATACATGCTTTCTTTATGCCTCTGTCAGTCCAAAATAACAGGCATTTGTTTGAAGAGATATTTAATAGGTTTCGAGGCACAGGGCATCATGCATACCCAGCATGTAAAATGAGTGCACACTCTGTGCCAGCTCATTTGGTGAGTATTTTGATTTCAGTTGTAAGACATCATTATGCAAACTTCGAGGAAAAAAAAGATTTTGTAGGAAATAGAAAAGCTTCTGTTGCAGTGATTTGTTCTAGTTCTGTAGTTCTAATGGTAATGCAGACCAACAAACTAAATCTTATTTTGGGCAACGAATCTGCATTGAATGCTGTTGTCTGGATTAAAAAAAGTCCAGACTGCTTTTGATTAGAACTGTTCTTCAAATTATTAGAATGTGATGGATGTGTTTAGATGAGGAAGAAGCTCACAGTTAGGTTTAGATTTCTTCTCTGAGCAATTTATCACCCTAGCATTAGTCAGATACCCAATCTCCAGTCCTTTCAGGATATATAAATAAATAAAGTATAATAACAGAGCAGTAAAATTTATGATTATGATTGATCTTGCAAGAGTCTCCTGTTTGCATTTCTACACAGAGGGTACAGAGCAGAATTTCCTAAGACATACAAATCTTGGTTATTTTCACAGGCATGTAGTTGCAGTAGATTAAATCCCAGAGTCTTTATGCAGTAAAATCTGTGGCTTAATATGATGATTAAATGAAGAAACTATGGGTTTCAGCTCTAGCATGAAACTAGCTCTTGTGTGGAAGAGCTCTCCATTTTCTTTGAGTCCCTGAGAGTCAGACAAAATTGTTTACTTCCTGTGTTGACGTGATTCTGTAGGAATGCATTTTGGTCTCTGGAGATGCAAAAAGTTAGTTCTATCTCCTCCATGGTTCCCTTCACCATAACTGTTTTCTATTTATACTTGCATCTCTGAGATTTCCATTTCTTTTTTCTCTAGACTGCTCATTACTTCCCTCCTGAGTTTCAGCATGCTATCCTTACCTTTTTTTGGACTTTACCTACAAAGCCAGCAAACACAATACTACTAATTTATGCTTTCTAAATTCTTCCCCACTTCGCAGACCATGTAATAATGTGTGTTGATTTCAAGCTCTTGATATTTGTATCTTTTTTACATTTGTCATAAAGAATTTTGACAAAATAAATTGTCAGAAAGATAAGAATTGATATTAGTTCTGGCAATACTATAATAAATCAGAATCATAGAATGATTTGGGTTGGAAAGGACATTTAAGACCATCTGGTTCCAACCCCCTGCTATAGGCAGAGACATCTTCCTCTTGACCAGGTTTCTCAAAGCCTCATCTAGCTGGCCTTGAATGCTTCCAAGGAGAGGGCATTCACAACCTCTCTCGGCAACATGTTCCAGTGTCTCTTCACCTTCACAGTGAATAATTTCTTCCTAATATCTAGTCTAAACCTACACGCTTCCAGTTTAAAGCCATTTCCCCTCATGTCACTGCCTGCCCTTATAAAAAGTCCCTCTCAGTTTTCCTGTAGGTCTCCATTAGGTACTTAAAGGCTTCTATAAGGTCCCTCCTTCTCTTGTCCAGATTGAAGAGCCCCAGCTCTCTCAGCTGGTCCCTGTAGGGGAGATGTTCCAGCCCTCAAATAATGAAATGCTGAAACTAAGCAGAAATTGGGAAATTCAGTTTTTTATCCCACAACTGAGAATGCAAAAAACCTATTTACCTGAAATTGCAGAATTTTTCTCTGTGCTGTATATGCATGTATGTATGTGTGCGTGCACATAGTGTCAATGAAATGATCTGTGTGCCAAGGCTCCTTGCTGCAGAGCTTCCACAGAATTTCCACTTTGCTTTTATAGTAAAGGAAATGATGTGAAATCTCAAATTCAGACATTCTTCTTATTCTCTTTTGAGCCTGAAATTGACTCGAGATATTTCCTAGTTTATTAGTATTTCTTCTTGTGGTCAAATTTTGTCTTGCCAGACCTGGAAGTGGTTTTAACATGAATGATAGCTTTGTGGAAAATCACATCAGAAATGAGATGTACCCATAATTTGCTGATGTTTTATAAAGCTAGTTACCAGAATGTGAGATGGAATATTTTTGAAGAAGAATACAGATAGATTGAAGTTGATGGCTTCAAGAGAAGCCTCTGAAATTCTCTGTGAATTCAGGGCAAAAGTTATTATTTTAAGCAACAATAATATATTCACCATTTTGTTTCAAGATTTCAGTTTTACCTTAATGTTGGAAATCTCTGCTTCTTTCTCCTGTTACCTTGTGTGGTCATTGAATCAATTTGCATTGTTTCTGCACAGCCACTTGGGCCATACATTCAAATCAGTTTTCTGACTGATAAGTTATTGTATGTTTGAAGTGGTGTCTGCCTACAACCTCAAAAAACATCCAAATATCTCTTCTCTAGAAGGTTTTGCTGACTGTGCTGTACTCTTCTAAAGCCGTAGTTAGTTATTTACTGATCTTCCTTCTTTCTTTCATTCCCATGTGTTCTATAAGGAAAAATTGAATAAAATTATTTTTACATCTGCTGGACTGAGACCTGAACACAAGCACACACTTCTAGAGATAGAGTGATTTCTCTTTTGATTTTATGGAGGAAGTTTTGCAGCATGCTGTTCTGGAAAACCACTGTCTCACCCATTGCTGTTGAGTTGGACAATGACTAGTTATGTGGCTAGTTATGTTAGCTTCCTTTCAGACACTAAGACTGACCCAGCTGAAAGTGATACTGAGGGTGATGGTGACTGTAATCATCTGTGAAGCCATCTGTCTCCAGAACCAATTGTTCAATATTGAAAGTGTGGAAAGAGTTGTTTTTAAATTAGTTTTCTACTTGGAGTGGTGACTCACAGAAGTTATATTGCTAAGGTGTGGAATGAAGAGGATGAATATTAGGATGAAATAGATTTCTTTAGTCATTTAATTCCAAATATCATGGTCTAGTGGCTTTACATTACAGCGCTCAGTATGTACATGGTTGTGAGCTTGTATTAATGTCGTCAGTGCTGTGTTTCATTTGCCTTAATTTGAGCTTGGAAAACACTGAATAAATAATGAGAAAAACTTCTTCCTTTCCAGAAATAAATTGAGGGACCATGCTGTTTATTTACTGTTTATACTCTCTGGGTTCATGAAATGATATTTTGATTTTCAACTGTGTGTGGAGACAGGACAAGGGGAAATGGCCGGAAACTGCAGCATAGAAAGTTCTGCACAAATGTGCTCAAGGACTTCTTTATGGTGAGGTGACGGAGCACTGGAACAGGCTGCACAGGGAGACTGTGGAGTCTCCTTCTCTGGAGGTATTCAAGACCTGCCTGGTTACCTACATGTGAGACCTGGTGTAGGGAACCTGCTTTGGCAGGGGTTTGGACTCGATCATCTCTGGAGGTCCCTTCCAACCCCTACAATTCTGTGATTCTGTGATTAGGTCTTTTCCAATACTTGTATCTGGTCTGTTAGCTGTACATTATCTGGTGGACTGCACACAAAGCCTCTTGGCAAGCTTTACTGTATGATAGACAAGAATTAGTAGGAAAAATAGTGGTAACATCTGCTTTTTTGATTTTTGGAAAAGGCTCCCTAAAGAAAAGGGAGTTAACAACAAGTATCTGTGGACTGAAGAATGTTTTTAGAAAGTGTTTTCTCAATAGGCATAAAATCGTTTAATATCCCGAGTTGGAAGGTATCCATAAGTATCAGTGAGTCCAGCTCCTGGCTCCACACCCCCTGGGAAAAAGTCAATATCACCCCCATTTTTTAAGAAGGGTAGAAAGGATGA